AAAATAATGTTTTTTTCTTATGAACAAATTACAGAAATTGAGATCTATCACTTTTTTATTTCGCTTTTCAGCAAACTTTATTTAAAGTTCGTGAACGACGACAATGTGGGTGTATGCCTCAAAGACCTTTTTGTAACTGTTTACAGGTCAGTTGTGTGATTTATTGGTAATTATCCTTCTAAAAAGTTTATTTACTGAAATCTGAAAGTTGTAATATATAAGAAGCAGAAAAAAAAAACTATTTGAGTATTACTTTAAACTTGTTATTATGTGTCAAATTTTATAAAATTGAAAGAAAAAAAACGTTGCAACTGAATATTTACACTGAAAAGCTTTGGTTAAATTAAATTTTGTTGCGAAACTGTAATGGAAGCTGATTGTGTGTCAGTGAGGTTGAAAAATTGAAACAGAAGAACAAATAGGACTTTAGATGTATCATCGCATCGACAGTTCATTGATGTTGTAACACTCCAAGTATCTGTTATTAGAGTAGCTAACAAAAATATTGACTTATTCGCACCTTATCTGACAATTATTCAGAAAGCAAATAACTACAATCTATAATTACAACAAATTTAGTATTTTCTTTAACAAATCATTCATTGTTTATTAAGTCAGTCTTACAGAAGTAATGTTGTTCATTAAGGAGTTTTCTTTACTCTTGAAGGATATTTAGTGCATCATCGACCACTGATTTTAATGTATTTTAAGCCGCAAATGTGCAGCTGCACTCAGATACCAATGCCACCTTGCCCTTGTTTGCCAAGCTTAGCTTTGCAAGAACAGTATGGATGTCTTCCGACGTGCCAGGATGTTTGTACAGCATCCTGTGCTCGTCAAAGTCAACCATTTAACAAGTACACTTTTTTCTTTCTTTTTTTGAAATATATAAGATTTAACAAAAGAACATTTATTTTTTGGCTACTGACTTCAAATCTGCAACATATGCACAGTTTTATTACTGTGAGTACGAAGAGTGAAAGTTTAAAAATATAAAGACATTTGCTTGTTCAATGGTTACAGATGTGAATCAACCTGTGCGTTTACCTGTCAACATGCATGCAACTTTCATCGACAACGAGAAGAAAATATGGTATGCAATAAACTTTAAAGAATTGTTGATATTTTTAATTGAGTTAAAATTTAGGTTTTATAATCAATGTCTCTTAATGACATTAATATACCTATAACCATCAAGAAATTTAGTCTTGATAAGCCTTCAAACATTTCAAAGGTGCTTGCAATTTGCTCACCATCTCTGATAAGTGCTAGCAAATTTATCTCTTCGTAACAAATATTAAAAGTTTTAACAACCAAAATGCTTTTGTTACTTCCCACAACCAAATTTAACTTCCAAAATCAGTCACAACGTATGACAGTAGCATGCAACTGCATTAAGAACAGGTTTTATTTTTGAATAAAAACCTGCAACAGTTTTTTGGATCTAGTAATAAAAAATTGAAATGTTCTTTGAAATAAGTTTTTGTGACTTTCTTGAACATTTGTTCTTACCATGAGACAATGCAACCACAGAAACCTGGTAAGACCAAACAATAGACAAATTGAACTGGTCAAAAAATTGACTAGTCAAAAGAAGGTGACGTTTCAGACAGATGTTAATCACAGATTTGTGCGCCAAAAGTAAACAAAACTTTTTTTTGAAAGGTGTACAAATATAATGGTTTCATGTACTTATACCGTCTTAGCTAAAACCCTTGTGACACTCTGTACTCAACAGATATTCCAAGGCGTTTCAGCGATAAGGTCAATAGTCAGTTTCTACCAAACAATTAGTAAAGTCTTTACTTACAGGCATTCCATAAAGTAGGAACTAACATATTTGGTTCATCTTGTCAGTGTTCTTTAAATACTATATTAAAATGAAGCCATTGACACCAGTGTTCTTTCTAGGAAGACCAGTTTTACTAATAATATCAGAATCTTGTTTTCCAATTGAAATAAACAAATAATTATTCAAAAAAATTTTTGCGGCAAGATTTTTTGTCTATTCTGTCTGTTCTGTCTGTCTGCAATTCTGTCTGCAAGAGAAGCTTTGTAACTGTTTTGAAATGTACACTCAATCATAACTTGACCACCTGCTAC